ATTGACGAAATGATCGATTCTAGGAATTGCGTGGAACACAAAGCCTATGGTCGAAGGCGAGTTTTGGGAGGTCGAAATCTCGCTGCAGGTGACCGGACCTGGTCGCATCGGTGCTGACGGTTTGGTACGCTTACTACGAAACCTTCTTTTATCTTTATCAAGTTTGCCGACACTTTTTGGAGTTTAGGCTGTGTGGTACACGGACACAAAAGGTCGTATCGGTTCCGTTTTTGGAGCGAACGATTACTGGCGAGGCTTAGGGGTGTTCTTTGACACTTTCGACAACAATGGACAGGTTTACACTTCCAATAGCGGAAATTTCTTTTATCAGCGCTGCTTTATTATTATAGGGCGACAATCCGGCCATATTGGTTCTAGTAAATGATGGCACAAAGTCGTTTGACCATTCAAAGTAAGTACCATTTTTTCTGGGAACTTCCCCTTAAGATAAATTTGTGTTATATTGAAATCGATTAACCATTTCTTTGAAAGAGTCCATCATTTTCGCTAGAGAGAGGATCGGTTGTACTGAACTGCAACTGACGTTTTGAAGTTACTTTAAGAAAGGTGTACCGCTTGATACGAGATTCGAGGAAAGCGTGAATTAAAGAAGAAATACCGTTTATGTTTTGCCCAGCTGTGTTATGATCGTAAGCCTTGGGAAGGTGCTGCGCAGCGGAGATAGTTGTCCATTACCATGTTTTAGCAGACCTCCTTGGCTAACACTATCGATGTTTTTGTTAGGTTGTTCCTTGTACTATAGCGGCGGAGAATTCACCCTTCTGTGTTTCACTTTTTCTTATCATCCCGCTGTTGGATCGTTGTTGGTTCTTCCTGACGCGGATGACAGTTCCACTTCGAAACTTACCTGTCCTGTTCTGCTCCTTAAATAATGCTCATTGGGTCAGGTCTTTTAGCAAACCGGATCTATCATATGCGGAGGCTTCTTGTGCTGAAATCAGTTTCTGTTGTGGTAGTACTTATTTATTTAGTGTCCTACAGTAAAAGTATTGAAAAGCTGAGGCTGCCTGAAATGCAGCAGATACCATAAATCAATGAGGTCCTGCGAGCGGTTCAAAGTGATGGTTGTATTAAACAATAGTTGCAATATAAATGGGAATTCTCATTGCATGGTTTATTTGGAGTGAAACCTTTGTTTGCATTAGCCTTGCGCCAGGGTTGCAAGAAGCGCAAGTCTTGAAACAGGCATATATAATCATAAAGTAATTAACATTATTATAACACGGAACACTTTGCAATATGGATATTATATTCAAACCAAATGAAATATATATTTATTATTAATGATATGGCATTAGGGAGTTTTTGAAGATCCAAATGTTGCGGCCTGCTGTTCACATGAGCGATGTTCGTGTTTTGATAAATTTTTGAACTGTTTTTTGATAGCAGTATTCAGTAACTGATCGAGGATAGCAGCAGAGCTTTCTTGTTACACGTCAGAAAAGTTTAGTCGCTGTTTTTATATTTTAATCTCCGTCATATTTTTCTTCCACCTTGACTACTTTCTTTTCGCTCATCATC